TATATATATTTTTTTTTTTACAGTTTTAGTGACCCTTTCCTGAGCTACAAATGTAATTTATTAGAATTTGCAATTTTATTATGTTTTAGTAACATTCTACAAATCTTTAGGTGCATTATACGACTTTGAGTGATTTTTGATGGTTCTAAATATTGTTATAAGTGTTCATGTATAATGATATAAAATTATTATAAATATGTGGTGCATATAATATATAAAAAGGGGGATGTTTACATAATTGTGAGCACAAGTATTTGATTTAAAAAAATGCAGAAATGTAGTAATCATGCTAGCTTATGATTCAGATTTTTATGTGTGTTATAATTGTCTCCAATCTTCCCTATATACAGGTTTGTTTTGTGAAATGTACTTGTACAGTTCTTTGAGTTCAGTCACTGGGCAGCTTCATGAGTTCCTCTCATGTTCAGTGTCAGTGTCAGACGTATGCTGTTGTGTTTGTGCTCTCACACGTCCTGTGCAGCAGATCAACCTTGAGCTGTCGTTGCAGAACCGCACTGTAGCCACACCCAGCCATGGAGTTTGGGACATGAGAGGGAAACAGTTCCACACCGGGGTGGAGATCAAGATGTGGGCCATCGCCTGCTTCGCCACACAGAGACAGTGCAGAGAAGAGATCCTCAAGTAAGACTCCATAACTTACTGACTGTCAACACTGCTTAAAAGTATCGGGGCTGCATATTTTCTAATAAAAATTGCAATTGTGATTTTTAAAATGCGGTTTAAGAAAAAAATCCAGGTTTGCTACTGTATGTTTGTTTGCAGGGCTGCATAATTTGGCCAAAATTTCATAAAATAAATAAATATCAGCATTGCTATAAAATAATAATTATATTGTTGTTATTATTATTATTATTATTATTAGTAGTAGTAGTAGTATTAATAGCAAAATAATAAAATAGAAAATACTAAATAAATACATTTACTTTTGTTGTAAAATTACTAAATTACTTGAATTAAAACAAAATAGGAAATGTTACTATTGTAATAGTTCACTGTAAAATAAAAAATTGACTATTTAAGAAAATATAATAATAATAATAATAAAATTATTTTAAAATATACTGAATAAATAGTAGAAATTACTGAATAAAAATAAGAAATGTTACTATTGTAATACTGTATTTCACTGTAAAATCAAGAATTAAAAAAGGATAACAATATAATATACTGTATAATAATAATATAAATAAGACAATATGAAAATATATTTAATATTATACAAAATAAGTAAAAATACTAAATTTATATTAAATTACTAAATAAAAACTAATAAATGTTGCTGCTGTAATATTTCACTGTACTACAAATAAGTTGAGTATTTAAGAAAAATAATATAATGATAATATAAATGTAACACAGTTCATAGATATGGGAAGAAGGAGGCAGGAACTGGCGAATATTCAAATAATTGAATAATTAAAATAGACAAACACAAAACTAAAGTAAAGCGGCAGCCCCTCGTGGACAACTGCCGCACCCAAAACACAAAATAAAGACCTCCGTGAAGTTGGCCCCCCACCCAACGCAAAACGTCGGCAAAATAGTCTCAATCGTTTGTGCTCCGTTTAGTAAAAAAATCTTGTGTAATATAACTTGTTTGTTTTTTTGCTGGTTTTTATTGTATTTGTTATACTTGCATTCTTTTTTTTATTGTTTTTGCCATGAAAATAGCCTAAGATGCTTACATGGCATTAAATAAAAAAATATACTACTACTACTGCTACAGGGGTTTCACAGACCAGCTGCGTAAGATCTCAAAGGACGCTGGGATGCCGATCCAGGGTCAGCCGTGTTTCTGTAAGTACGCACAGGGAGCCGACAGCGTGGAGCCCATGTTCAGACACCTGAAGAACCCCTACTCCGGACTGCAGCTCATCATCGTCATCCTGCCCGGAAAAACACCCGTCTATGGTAAGAACAGCGCACACGGAGCAGAGCCGCCCTCCTGCCAAACGCCCTCAGACTAATGAACACACGTTTGATCTGTGCAGCGGAGGTGAAGCGTGTGGGAGACACTCTTCTAGGAATGGCCACTCAGTGTGTTCAGGTGAAGAACGTGGTGAAAACCTCGCCTCAGACGCTCTCCAACCTCTGCCTCAAAATCAACGTCAAACTTGGTGGAATCAACAACATCCTGGTGCCGCATCAACGGTTTGTAACTGCTTTGCCAGCCTTGTTTTG